AAAATTTACTTAAAATTTTGATATAATTTAATGGTAACATTTTATTTTAAAATAAAATACTTATAAATATGATTTATAGTTATAACAATATTGCTATCATAATATTTTTATGATTTTTTTTTTATATTACAAATCTCACATGTAATTTTATTTTAATTTTGAACTTTTCAAGTCCGTGTAATGCGTTAAAACGACGAACAATAGAGCTTCTCCAGAGCTCCGTTACAGTTACAGACCCTTTCGGAAGAGGCGAAGAAGCCATGATCAGCGTTCTTGCTCAGGTTTCACTTCTTTTGATTACACCATTCTCTCTCTCTCTGTCTCTCTCTCTCTCTCTCTCTATATATATATATATATACGATCGTGTCCGCTGAGATAATAGTATCGACATATGAACTCTTCGTATGTTTCATCACTGGAGGAAAGAATTAATTTGGCCATGAAATGTATCCGTCTGTTCGAATAATGAGACAGTCCTTAAAGGATCAGAACGAGAGTTATTAATACGATGGTGTGTGACAGTTGCATTTCTGGGAAGTATGCAAAACCCATGCACGTTCTAAAGACGTGGGAAAAGAGACTTTGATCCACTAATATCCAAGCTTGGGTAATATTAGTGCGCGGGGGGTAATGTTGGCTTACATATTTTGTGCTAGCCAATGAAATTCACACGTGGCAAAGTAAGAGTAATATGGGGAGACCAGGTAGGTCTTTGAATCCTGACGCATCCCCGTGGCAGTCATATTGGTTGTTATAGAGATCTAAGTAGTAGCGGATCAATAAAGAGACAACTGGTGAACGTGGCTTCAACAGTTGCTCATATTCAACATTTGAATATAAGGGGGAAGCCTAACTGCAAGTGAAGGCGTAGTGGAACTACTTATAAGGTCGCATGATCAGCGATTATGGAGGAGCAGTTCGACGGTTTGAAAATGCCAATTCGACGGTTAACTTCGGAAAGTATAAATAGCAGGAAGGACTTCAGAGAAAGGACGGAGAAAAATCTATAAAGAATCACTTTACATATTCTAGTGTTATTTCCTGTCTTTTAATACTTCCTGTACTTTTTAGTTTCTTCTGCGCTGCACTTCATTTGTAGGAGTAGTTGTCAAGTACATTGCCGCTGTAATTCTCTACGGAACTGAGAATCATTGTAAGTTCTTTTTATACTAATGACATACTCCAGTTTAGTTAACTGTTCTTATGTTCAGATTTTTCTGAAGTTTAATTACCAGTAAGCCACCAGCTAAAAGTCCTCTTTATTGAGGCCGAAAGAACCATAACACAATCGTCTGAATAATTGTTTGGCAATTCTGTAAGGACTGATTGATCCTTACTGGCACGCTCATAATTACGAAAGTAACCTTCGAAAGCCAAAAAAGCTAACAACAACAAAATAAAATTTTAATTTTATTAATTAAAATTAAAATTTTTTGATTAATTTTTTTCAATATAAATTATTTATCTCTTTTTAGTAAAATTGAAAATATATATATATATATATATATTAGTGGAAAAAGACTAAAATATCATTTTTTTTTATTAATCTTACTAAAAAAATAATTTAGATTTAAAAAAATAAAATATTAAATTTAAAGGTTAATTGGTGATAAATTAAATGTAAAGAGGTTATAAGGCATCATGTCCAAGGGGATTTTCTGTTGATGAGAGTTTATCTTTTGTAAAATAATTTGGTGATAAATCCTAGAGGACATTTCCAATTTTACCCCTTATTTTTTTTTTTCTATTTGACTCTTTGTTAACTATTTGCTGCAAATTATTTTTCTAATAGATTTGAAATTTTTTATATTTAGTTTATTATGTACTCTCAACAGTTTAGACTATTATGAAATGTGATCTATTATTATTTTGTTAGATATAATCCTTTTGATACGCAAAACATAGCCATCGAACCACATTATGTAGAACTACAGATAATAATGGTTAGATCTTCATTTGTTGCACGAAATCAAATTGCAGAACCAAGATAAACAAAATTGAACAAAACTCAACCAATGCAAGGTACTTAACAAACCAGGCAAATAATTCAGGCCAAACAAATATGAACCAATGAAATTTTCGAGACACATCTAGCCAATCCAAGAGAAACAGATCTATACATATGTATATATAATATAATCCAGAGGCAATACATATATATAACATAAAACATAGATTTGCATATATATATACATATATATAAATATCAAATACAAACTTCGCTGCAAATATAGAGGCAACTATAGAACACACACACACATATATATATACATACATATATCTGTTGAAAAAATTGGTTTTATAGGCATATTTTAGGCCAATTTTGAGCCCAAAATTGAGTGGGCCCCCGAACGTCTTTTGGGGTGGGTCTGAAGAGGTGAAGTGTCCCTTGCCGCGTGCAAGTCGACGTGAAGACGGTTCGTCAAAACCATTTATGAGTGAATGGGAACATGACGTCGTTTTCGGGTTCGTGGAATGGACATTTAAAGTTTTAAAGTGAGTTTCCTTGTGAAGCTTGTCCACAATTGAAACTTTAGGAGAGTTTATTTGTTGTATATAAGCTCTAGCCTACAATACTTGGGTTGGGCCCCAAGAGGACATCTCAAGTTTATAGAAGGGAGGAGTTATGGACAAATGAACTTTAACGCAAACCACCACACAGCGCTCGCCCCGCTGTGGCCAAGTCGGGCGCGGTTGTGGGTCGGGTTGTTTCTTGTATTAATTTTTTGGACAAAATTCATTTGAATTTTTTCAAAAATTATTGGAGAGAATTTAATTCAAATTTGAATTTAAATTTTCTGTCCATGTTTTATGCTTCTTCCAGTCCGAATTCAGTTTTGTAAACTGTTTGAACAATGCTAATAACTCCCAGCAGTTATTGATTTGTAACTGCCGAACAGATTCATTAATCTGGCTGCAAATCTGTTTGTTTTTTTAATTGCATCTGTTCAAAAATAGTTTACACCTGTTCACTTCAAACTTGTACTTGTTTGGGTCTATATATTGGAGACTTGTTCCTACAGATTGTGGTTGATATATAATACACCAAAAATCTGCTACAGAGGTCTGTTGAAATTCGAACAGATTCAAGATCTGTCCAGTTTTCACTTTTAATATGTCCTAAAACAGTGTCATAACTGATTGTGGCGGTTTACATACCTGTTGGGACAGAATTGATTGCCTATAAATTCAGACCATTTCCAGCAGTCTAAGGATCCGAAAATCAGTCTGCAAAATCCCATCTTTGCTGTCCAGATATTTTATTTTGTGCATTATTCTTCATTTTAGTTTTAGAATAAATATTCAGAGAGTTATAACACAGGTTTGGTTCACCGAAAAATTTGTTTGGAGTACTACTACAAATTGGTTAAAATCATTGTATCTGGGAGATAGACGCTTACTCAACGTAAGTACTATTTAGCGGGCGAATCTGTCTTAAGGACAGAGTGTCACACACTCGCCTGCTTTGTTCTATTTTTTTAATTCGTTCGATAAATAAATTCGTTACGTTATTTATTTATTTTGTTTGAATTATTTCAATTTATTTATTTACACAAAAGATTGTTCCACAATATCTATAAAACATGTTCGAGGCAGATCTTAGATCTTGGATACACGACCGTGGATTTGGATCGGGCCTTTGCCGGAGCAGCGATGTCGACATGACTTTGAACTCTGTTTGTTGTCGGATGAGGCGGTGATTTAAATCTATAACCGAATGGAAGATTAGTGAAGAGCGGCGGTGACGGAGGGTGAAGAGAAGATGAGAAGAGAAGAGAGAGAGAGAGAGAGAGAGAGAGAGAGAGAGAGAGAGAGGAA